GTTTGTATAAGTACACAAAAAATAGTATGGTCGAGTATGGTCAAGTATACTCTGTATGAGCTCATCTATATATCTTGGAATAATTTTTAAGTTTAATAAGAATCATTAGAAATCAACCTCATTTTCGAACAACCAGCAAATGAATACATGCATTAATGATGAAGAATATGGTAATCATTCACAACATCCGATGTACTTTAGCACGATTCACAATTATGATGTGTCACAAATAATCCAAAACACATTTTCATGTTAGCAATCATAAGCAGATATTCTTAATCATATTCATATGACTATGAATCCTTTTTTCCATAAAAAAAATATTTTAGTAATAGAAAATATTACTCAAGCAGATTCCCGCAAAGATAGTAATCAAGTTCTCTATGTGGTTTGCCGGTTATATTCATCCAAACATGTGTGTTTATGAAAAATAATAAGCCAAAAAGCTTTATCTGAGTCAATGCATATAACACATTTTGTGGTAAATTTATTCATAGATGTTTTTATTATGCTTGTCTTACTCACAATTATTAATAATTTAACTGTATTTTGTTTCATGCCTCCTTATCACTCATAGTGTGACGATAATGACGACAAGATTTAAGCTGAGAGTCAACTGGATGATAAAAAGTAATATGTATATGTGCATATCTACATAACTCAGCATGTATGAATAATAAGAATCAACTTATTGAGAATTTTTATTTTTTTTTCGGGAGAGAGAACGTGAAGTGAGAATATAAAAGGATATGATTAGCTTTTAAACAATTCATTCTACTATAAATATTTAAACAGTGAACTACTTACAGTACAGTACAGAACAGAACAAAAAATATCTTTTTATTAACTGCCAAGTGCTTGGTTAATAATATATTTATACATACATATGTGTCGATATTGTAGTGCTGCTCAACGATTCCCTTATCTTCATATATTTGCAACGAACATCGACAAAATTTCTTGTCAAGCATTTCGTCGTTTGATTCCTTTACCAGGCGGGCTATTTAGAATAATTTGATTTCTAGCTGCCTGATGAAGGGACAAAGACCGAAACTGCAAATCAGCTGAGTTCGTTTGATTACAAATTGGAAGTGAAATGTGAAATTTGCATTACTTGAAAGTATTAATCTGAATTTGACATTCGATGTGATACAGTTTTTGGAAGTACATCATCGTGAAAATGCAAGAATCAACTGTTATACTCAGAATTTTACGAAGATGATCGAAAGGTGATGCAAGTCAATAATGTTTTGTTTGAAACTCTGTGATACTTGGGGAACATTAAACCTCAGGAACCTCCAGCAGTTTTGTAATAGAAAACTTAGTTGCTTAAACCACTAAACACGCCCGAAGCGTGATAATACATCAAATAATTGTATTAGATCAAAAGACTCAAACTCAATTTAAATGTCAGAACATAGCACAAAACTTAAATGAAATTTTGAAAACAATTATGTTTAAAATGTCACAGAAGGGCGATTATTCAGTTAAAGTTTAACAATCTGAGAGAAACGTGACCTTTCTAATGGGAAAATGGTTTACAAAATCTTCAATTAAAAGTTTCGGTAAGAACGCATTTTGAGTTTTGTGGTAGTTGTCTTAAATAAATTGTAAAGTTTATTTCTTATAGAGTTTGTGTTTAAAGGATTTGTTACAATTCATCAACTCGTAATTATAAATTGGAACCTTAAAAGAATTTTCAGTTTATTTTTGACAAACTTTTACGATATGGAACACTTTTAGGATGATTTCAAGGTGTTATGCCTGCATATTACTTATAATTTTCTAAGAATCATAAGAAATTGACTTTTCGTTAGAATTTAAAATTCTCGTTCGTGAATATTCAATATTAATGCATTCTCAAATGTTAAAATTTTCCATTTAAGAGACAATCAATTTTGCTTAAATCAAAAAATAATTTTATCTGCAAAACTCATTGCGTAGAATTACAAACATTCAAGTACATCAAAACAAGACCAAATCACACAACAAACAGCATGTAAAGCATGAGAATAAACTCTCAATGAATTGCGAAAATTTCTACAAACGGGATGCAACATGAACTTTGTAACTGCAAGATTTACTACAACTTTATTTACACATTGAACGAGAGATTTTATTCATCACTTCCTACAGACAAACAAAGTACTTAAATCCCAAAAGGACATAAAGTTTTGATCGATACAAATTTCTCTTCTACATGCTGGCAAATATTAGCTTGTGATAATCTGTTAAATCCACTGAGATTATCGTAAGATGAGCAAGCTTTTTATCGATTCTAAAATCCCGAGAACCCTAACCTTCAAGAAAAATCATTCATAAAATATTCCTAAATCTCACTCTCGAGCAAAAAAAAAACATTCTTGTCGTACACCAAAAAATTCCAAGAATGGCAAAAACCCCGCAAAAACGATTGTTTCATAAGCAGCATGGATTAGTACAATGAATTTGAAGAGAAATATTTATGATATTTTCAACAAAGTACTCAGCACATTTTTTTGCCCGCTTTTATCAAAAATAAGCAAGTCTCATTCATATCTGTTTGGCATTTTCATAATTCATACAAAGAATAACGTTATTTCAACAGAAGTCAATGAAATTTTAAAACCCGTAGTGAAAAGGAACTTAAATGTCAAGGATGAAGCACATTACAAACGAATTTTCATTCCTTTTTATTGTTATGTGAAATTGTTTCAGAAACCAAAACTAATGATGGGGTCAGCAAGGATATGACTAGAAAGCGCATTATGCTAGACAAACCAATAGAAAATAATTATATAGTGGGAGATTCGAACTCAGGACAAGAGAAAGAAATTGACAAATTCTGATTCTGGAACTTCAAATTATAAGCTTATTTTGACTCTAGAGCTGAATGGACAAACTGAAAGATAATCGAAAACTTTATTTTTAAAAAATAAACGACACAAAAAAGGAAGAACATAAATTGAGTTAACAAATGTTAAAGGTAAAATGTGGATTTATTTTTCATGAAGTTATTGACATTATGCTTATTACCTGCTCATTTTTAACAAATTATCATCAAAATGGATTTTTTTGTGCGCTCTGATTTATGTCTTAATGACATTTCTATTTACATGACTAAAAGTTTGCAGTAACATGGAAAATAATGAGGTAATGACAAGGAAATTTTCGGAAAAATCATTTAATCATAAAAATTAAGACATAACATCATAAAAAGTAAGAAAATCAGTGTGTGCATGAATTAAAGTCAGTCATGAATGAAGACAGTGAAGAAAATGAGGAAAAAAGTGAGATTTGTTTCGAAGATACGGGTAATTCTTATATACTTCAAATACGTCCAAAAGTCATGAAAGTTGAAAATTATATTGAAAGTTTTCATATATATGACAAACGGCAAAGTCTTGAACAATGTATAAAATGTTCTAAAACAGTGGAGAAAATTATGTTTGAAATTGCAAGCAATGACGATTTAAATGAAGCACTAAGTCCTTCATTTAATAGAATGCATCAGAATTAAAGTGAAGCTTGAAAAAGGTATGAAATTTACATATTAATTAATCGTAAGATTTATCACCGAGATTTTACTTAATCCTAGGATTAAGCAACAAATTTAATGCTGAATGCTGGGATTTAACCGTAAGATTTTAATTAATCGTAGGATTTATTACAAAAGTTTAAATTAAATCGTCGTGCTAAATCTTACGATTAATATGGATTTTATTTTAAATTTCAAGTCATGTTCTATCTACACTCTATTTAATATCATTTAAAAATATTTTTTTATAAAGATATAAATATGAAAAATCTAAATTGAATTTCAAATACAAGAAATTTTACATACATGCTCTACAATTTTACGTTTTCTACTCTTTAACTTTTCAGAACTTTCATTAATGCTGACATCGAGCTTTAAATTGAAATTTAGATAAAAAAGTCAAGAAATCATGTCATACACAAAGAAACATCGTCATTAATACAGAAAAGTTTAATGTTGATGTTAAACTCACATTAGCTGTGAATCGCCCTAGTGCACCTCTGGATCACAATTAATCTGAATAGGTAAAGGTTTTTTTTTTTTTAATGTTGATGAGAGTGAGATAATGTAAACAAGATAATCACGAAGAAGTCATATCAAATCAATGGGTTGTCAAATGTCATAATCATTATTTATTTGTGGATTTTAGTACTGAATATCATGTTCAAGGTTGTATAAACTATAATTCAAAGAATTACATAATCCAATTTAGAGATACAATTAGTATTGTGGAGTTTGACATCTTTTGGAATTAAAGTAAATAAAAATATTCAAAATCAGATATAGAAAATACTATATTGTACCCCAAATAAAAGAGGATGGGTTTATCCACATCCTGCACCAACATCTAATCAGGAAATGTTAACTCAATTTTATATTCCTTAAAAAATTTAAAGACCAATAAAAACAAAATCTTTAATCAATAAAATTGTTTTTAATTTTATTTCAGAACTATCAAAATTTTCTAATTCTTATTTCAGTAATGAAGTCGTTATTTTCACCTTAAAACGTGGTTAAGTTACAATAATTATAAATTTTCGTATTTTTCAAAAAGTCGACCATAATCTTTAAAATTAGTTGATTAATTCCATAAAAATCGATACTTTTCATGAAATCAATGTCATTTTAATTCATTAAACATTAAAGAAACCAAAAAATCCACAAAATGAAAGAATTTAAAGAAAATTTTAAAATTGTACAACATGAAGTACTAGATTGTGTTTTATGTTTCCTAGAAAGCGATTTCTCTATTTGTCCGAATGTCATCTTATGTGAGCTGATTCTTATGATAACAAAACCTATTTTCAATGGGATTAAATTAATATTGTTGATTTATATTCTTAAAAATTAAAGACTACAAAATTTTAAAGGTTTGAATAAATTTTCATAGAAGTTTTAGAAAAATAAACAGAACCATCGCCAAGAAGCGATTCGCGTGACAAATTTACACAATTCTACCTCAACTCTCATTAAAAAATTATTGATTTTTTCAATAGAGTTGCAAAAGCAAAAATTTTAATGGGTGAAAAATTAATAAAATAGTAAGTGAAAACATAAAAAATGTTAATTAAACTGGTTAAAAAATATTATAACGTGCGCGATAAATGATAAATTATCGAAACTAAGTGATTTCAGAAAAACGCAATCGCAGAACTAAAATATAAAAATGAGCTTGTGCCTAAAAAATTTTTGCCTTGCTCAGAATAATTTTTTTCAAAATCAGACTTTTGTGCGCTTAAGACTTTTTGTTGTTTACATTCCGGCAACAAACACGCGTTCCTCATAATTACTTTGACAATTTTTTATGTTATTTATTAAAATAAATAATTATGAATGAAAATGGAGAAAATTTTCGAGGAAAATTGTATATGGATGGACATAGAACGCCATTTATAAAAAAATAATTTTCTAGATACACAATGGATATGAAACCAAAATTATTGGAATATTTAGATGAAATTTCCTACAGCAAGTGAAATGCTCAATAAAAAGTCAAACAAAAAAAATATTAAATAAATTTACAAAAAATAAAATATTTTGTTTGAGGAAAATTCATTTGTATGAAAAATCTATATAATGCCATATGTATGTAGACATACTTTACATATATTTTATATTCATTCATCTGCTGTTTGTGCATATACTGTTTATTATGAGTTTCTATAATTAGACACACAAAGTTGTAAAATAATTTTTTATTATAAACTCAAATTAAACTCTTTTTTTTTTTACCTTAAAAAAAACTGCATCAGACTTACTTGGCTGTGTGTATACGATGCTTTGTGGATATAGATCATCAATCGGATGCATATCGTCAATGTGATGAGATGAGAATTATTTAAAAAAATTAGTTTTAAATCAAGTTGATCGTGAAATGTTTTTATTTTGCAATACAAACGCTTTGTATTTGTGAGGATTAATGTTTTGGCTTTGTGATATCAATGAACTTCTTTTTGGTGAATCATATTTATTGCGATACCTTTAAAATGCTTTCGAAATGTACTAAGTTCAGATGTGTGATTTTCTGACTCATTGTCCGAGTCTTTTTGCCAGTTCTACAGGATTTTATGTGAGGATTGAGAGAATTCAAATTGTAGTCAACCAATCATCATATTTCTAATTGAATCTCAATCATTTGACTACAAAAGTGTTATATTAACATTGATAGATTTGCCTTAACATGTATGAATTGATATCTTCCAACAGCTAATCCTTAACATTTTGATATCAACCAAAATTCAACAAAACTTCCCAAAGAGTTTCTTTACTAAGGATTTATATTATTCTTATAAGAATCTGATAATAACTCAATCTACAGCGACCCCTTCAACATACACACAATTCATTCAACTGCAGTGAATCTAGAGTTACCCTAAGTTATTAAAAATTGCATATGAAATATTTCATGAATGCCGATTTTGATTATAAATTCATTAAAAATGGCTCAATCTGTTCTCAAAAAAGTTTAAAACAATCAAAATTTAACTCAAATTTGAATCATTTTACGTAAAAATCTTCAAAAAAGAACTTTAAAAACCCTTCAACCTACACAAAAACGTGTTTCCTTGTTCAATATTTCAAAAGCAAGAATAATATTCATAAACTCGAATCTGATGTGGTCAAATATTCACGTGACAATCCTGTTTTATTCCTTTCATTCCACGTAGTAATTTTTAGACCCTCTGCATTAATTTTACTTGCACTTAAAACCGTGTTTGTAGGGGTTGATTAATATTTCTTTGTACAGAACTCTACTGGATATTTTTACTAATTAAAATAGGTTAATGGAATCATTTTTTGAGGAATTTCTCACCCTCGTTTTAATATATTTAAAGAACATTTACAAATTTGTAAATTTGAAATTAGAATTTTGAGAATCCTCATGAATTGCGTACAATAACAACATCAAGAAAATTAATCGCGCGCGCTTTTTCTTTATCTTTCAACGCTTGTCTGCAAAAAGAATTTATTGACAATATTTATCAATTTCACTCTTAGGTCATTACCACACTCATTAGAAGATAACAAAAGATAATTTAAACTACAATACTAGAGAGGAAATCACATTTAAAGTATCTGCTAGTCTAACACATTCATATACACATCATCATCATCATGAACACTATAACAGAGACTATAGAGATGGTTGATGAGGGTGGTATAAGTGACACATCGTCGGACTTTGATAGTCGTCCGAGTAGTCCGGATGGAGAGGGTGAAGGAAATTTACTTACTGAGGCTATGGAAAATGAAGTTACAGCACAGCTAGTGAATGCTGGTGTTGTTGGCATTGCTGCTGCTGCAGCTATCACATCGTCAAAGAAGCGAAAACGTCCGCATTCGTTTGAAACAAATCCTTCCATTCGTAAGCGTCAACAGAATCGATTATTAAGGAAACTAAGGGTGAGTGTCTGTGCTGGTTGATGTTATCTTATAAACAGTCTGGTATTGCCATATGTGAAGTATAAAATTTGCATATTTAGAGATAATACTTATCTTTAGATTTTAAAGCTCTTTTGATCCACAAGCCCCTATCCTTTATGGACCATATCATACCCATAGATCCAAAAAAATTAAAAATCCATCAAATTCTAATTTCTTTTCCCATAACTCCTTCAGCAAACAATATTCGAATATGCAACTCGAGTTGGGCAACAGGCTGTTGTATTAGTCGCAACGCCTGGCAAACCAAACAATATATACAAAGTATTTGGCGCAAAGCCGCTTGAAGATGTAATTAAAAACTTACGCACAATGGTTATGGATGAACTTGATTCAGCGTTAGCTCAACAGGCACCACCAAAAGTGCTAGAAGATCCATCGCTATTTGAATTACCGCCATTAATAATTGATGGAATTCCGACACCAGTTGAAAAGATGACACAAGCGCAATTGAGGGCGTTTATACCGTTAATGTTGAAATATTCAACAGGTATGATTTGTGGATGACTATTTATTAGCTTTATATTGAATTTATCATTCTTATCGTTAAGGTCGGGGCAAACCAGGATGGGGACGAGATTCAACTCGACCTGAATGGTGGCCAAAAGAGCTTCCATGGGCTAACGTACGAATGGATGCAAGAACAGAGGAAGAGAAACAGAAAATCAGTTGGACACATGCATTACGAAAGATCGTGATAAACTGCTACAAATATCATGGACGAGAAGATTTGCTACCAGCATTTTCGGAAGAGGATGAAAAGGCAAATGCAATAGCAACAGCCAATGCAAATGTGAGTATCCAAAATATTCTTTATCTCTATTTTTACAAATTTCATGGTACATATTTACATATTTCGTCACATTTTACTTATCTCTGAACGCAAAAAAAAATTCTCTCGGATTTGTCAAAAATAAATAATCTAGGTTGGTGTCTTAAAGATTCATAATCACCAAACATCAAATACAAATCACACGGGAACAACAACAATCGTCACCACAACATCAAATTCGACACATGCTGCCGCGAGCAGTAATACGAATCATACAGTATTACCGAAAATCGAAGTTCCCGCACCGCAAACAATTCAAATTCAATCAAGTCAATCAACGGCAAACACAACTCAGGTTTGCCACATAGACACGATGCCGCTCTCCGATGTCGATGTTCGTATTGATGATGTTTCTCTAATAATTGATGTTTTTATTTTGAATAATTTTTTTTTTGTTGCTGTTGCTTCTTATTTACTTTTTAATCCACAACTTTCGAGATAGTTTGAAAGTCTTCTTATTTTGTTCCTTTAAACCAATTTTTGTTCTGCTGTTGATTTTATTTTATTTTTATTTCGCTCACATTTTATTTTGAATTGCTGTATTTGTTTTGCAACGGGTTCGTTCATTAAAGATGTCAATAGACATCACTTATGAACGTCTCCCAAAGACTTATCATTCATTCTAGTTTGCTAATTGAATCTTTCACTGTCTATTTACAGTACCAGACTGTCTTACAAACAAATGCTGACGGAACATTCTCATTAATTCAAGTCGATCCGAGTACATTATCAAATAATCCATCAATCATCACATTACCAGATGGAACGACTGCTCAAGTTCAAGGAGTAGCTACTGTGAGTTGAAATTGAACAGATTATTTGTAAAGTCTATCCTTTAGCCTCTAAGAAAAGATTCTAATGAGGATTTTTTTGGATCTTAAAATTAATTTTTCCATGAAAATTTTCATCGAATTTGACAATAAAATTTAAATAGCTAAGAGAATTTTCTTATCTTCCAAATTCTACCTCAATTCAGTTACATACCCAAAGTGATGGTACTGTACATACAGTACAGACTATAGATGGTCAAACAGAGAATATGCAAGTAGACTTATCAGAAGCTATGCAAGATGGACAATTTATAATAACGAATGAGGATGGAAATGTATTCCCAGTAGCCGTTAGTGGAATGATAACCTTACCCGTAACAGCACAAATGTATCATTCACTTGTACAACAACAAATGCCTAATAACGACAATACAGTTTGTGTGACTCCAATGCAGGTACAAAATCTTATAGCCAATAATAGTTTGTGTTGTAGTAATAGCATATCCAATGTCAATCCAACGACATATCTTATGTCGACAAACAATAGTAGTAGGAATTATGTCAATTTACCAATTCAATCGACAAATTGTCAAATAAAGACCGTCCAGCCATCAACAAAGTCACGGACGGTCAAAAAGTCGACGATGAAAAAGAAAATTTTAAATACGACTGCACAGAAATTAAAGCCAAAAACCTTAGTGATTAGTAAGAATGTTGTGAACAATGATAATAATAATTGCAAGGATATTAAAGATAAAAATGATGAAAAGTCAATACAAAATGGAAATTTTAAAAATTCTCATAAAAAGTATGAAAGTAAAAGTGTTAGGATGAAAAAGCAATTAGATGAGTCAAAATTATCAAAGAAACAAAATGCTTTCGATGCAAAGCAAGAGTAGTGATTAGAATTTAGGATAGGAGATATCATTTTGGGGGTGCATTTTGTAAAATTGGATTTCAAGGGGGTTGGGGATGTATTCGGATGTGTTTAAATGTTTAAAAAACAATTTGAATTTACAAAATTGATTTAAAATTCAATGAATTCTTCTGGTAGAATTTTGCAGGTCAAAATGGCGTTACCAGTTATTTTTGAGGGTTTGAGGAGATCAAACCATTGATTCTGAACCCTTTTTTCTTAACCAACCTTCTGACAATCCATCAAAAATCATCCCTTTACCCAAAAAACTTTGCAATATTTTAAATTCACATTATTCTTTTATTTTATCAACTCAAATTGGAAATATTTTCCAATTATTCAAAAGATCTCTCTATGCCCATAATTAATTTAAGTTATGATTTTTTAATGTATGACCAATTCAGCATACAAATTATGTATTAGTATGTCAATCATAAATTGTGCAATTTTTTTATTATATTTTATATGAAAAAAACTATTTTAATTGATTAGTTCCTTATTTTTTCATTAAAAACAATTGTAATTGTTCATTGTCTCAATTAAATGCATAAATAGAATTTTATGTGATCCCATTTGAATAATTATAATGATCGTACTGCACTCATTAATAAAATATGAACAAAACAAAAATGTTTCTAGTCTCATAGGACCAAAAAAATATTTGCATAAATTTGAATATATTTAAGTTGAATTTTTTTTGGAAAAGAATACTTTTGCATGATTCATGTGATTTTGTCATAAAGGAACACAATTTTCATGTTTTTTACTGCAGATGTTTTTAAGGATAACAATATTGAATGTGTTTTGGATCAGAAGTTATTGTTACTGAATTTTTAAATGAAAATAAGTCAATTTGATTGATATTCATGGTTTGTCGATTACGCTATTCTGAACTTTAGCTTGAAATTCTAATTAAAAATGATTCAAATATTATATCAAGTCAAAATTCATCAAAATTTCATTAAACATACAAATTTAATTTTAATAAATAATCAGCCACAAAAAAACCACAAAATTATAACACATTCGTTCATTATTTGGTCAATTATCAGCACACAATTTTAAAAACCACATGATGTTTCAACATGAACTCATATCTAGAACAAATAAAAATTGCTGATGAGGCAGCTTTATGACAAATATTAGAATTACGTAGCTTATCACATTCACATGAATTTCATTTATAATTATTAAAAAAGATCAAAAAAGAAATTTGTTACCAAAAAAATCTCCAAAGTTAAAATTGTAAATTTATGTGTCATAGGCAATAAAAAATGATAATTTTATTATTTTTATTTATTTCTTATTATTTTATGTTTTTTTGAAAGATTTTATGATTATAATTTTTTATCGCTTAGAAAATTCTTAAAGGTTAGTAAATTTTTATAATTTTTTTTAATTTCTTTATAATATTAGCTTTTAAGTTTAAAAATAGAATAAGATTAACAAGTTGACTAATGAATGAGTAAACTACTAACACATTCTAGTTGCAGGGTAGATTTAATTAGATTTATAATTTTCAAATCGAAATCAGATAAAGATTTAGCTTAGTATTGACCAATATATTTAAGGCAATCTTTAATACAATCTAATTTCCAAACTTTATTTTAAAATGTATCACAGAGTAATTTCAGATGATTTTATTAATCATGCATGACAAAGATTCATAATAAAACAAATAATCATGAACTAAAGTAATGATAATGACATTTAAATTACCTTAAATGTAAATTAAATTGAATACATAATACTCATGAATAATACTAAAAACACTTATGAATGGCTAAAACTTAAAACAATAACTCAAAAAGCAGCATCAACTCTATCATGAAACGAGCGACAATCCTTTTAATCCTCTACTAATCGTTAACACATTCATTCCTTTTAATTATTTAATCCTATTAAAATTGATACTAACAACTTTTTAATTATCATCCTTTCAGGTGGAAAGTAGTGAGCAAATGGAAACAATAACGCTCAATTCATCGAATCTCAAGGTTAGTTCGAACATTAATTTTTCATGTCTGACTAATAAATTAGACTTAATATTCAAAGTCTTAATCATAAAAATCATTTAAAATTAATTCAAAAATACATCATTCAATTTCCAGCTTTTTGACTCATCAACATCAAACATGCCACAAGTCATGATTCAGGGTGCAAATGGCGAGCTAAAAATGCTAAGTCTCGCCGATCTCAAATCACTTGGTGTTAATTTAATCGAGGATATTAAGTCAGACGATCAACTAATGGGCTGATCTTCGGTTATTTTTGAATTGAATAATTAAATTTAATTCAAAAAAAGGTTAACGAACAATAATCCTCGGGATGGGTGACGCGACAGCAGCTTAAGTATCACAAAGTGATTAAATTTTAATTTATTTTGCATTTTGTTTCTTTAACCTTTTTTAAAAGAAATTTTTTTCATCATGAAAAAAATATTTTGTAATTAAAATCTTCAGTTGAGAGTACCTGATTACAAAATACAACATAAACTATCACTGTAGAGTTATTCAGAAATGGGAAATATCAAAAAAGACTAAATTCGTCATATTAAAAATTATTTGAAGAATTTGGGTGAATTTTGTGAAGAGTTGGTTCTGAATTTTCGGGTATTGAAGACTTTTCCGTAGGATTTAATACAAATTTAGTTCCAAGAACTATAAAAAGACATGACTTGTACTACAATTGAGCTTAATCAGCTCCATCTAGTCAACGAGTACACATCTAGTCATACAAATCTAGTCATAGTTAAAATCTAGTCATATTCAAATGAATAATATGCGTAGTAATTAGCTTTTTATTCAAATTGAGATCTAAATTAAGGACAATTTGATACAATGAATGAGAAGAGGTTCTGACTAAGGTTTCAACAGATTTTTATCATTGTAACGTGGAGACTTAATTTGAAAGAAATTATCAGAAAACAAAGCTATAATTAAGAAATTGTTCGAAAAAATTCAAGATCATCTAGTCATTCAGATCTTACAGACACAAAAATCAACCCAAAATTCTTCAAATAGTTCTTCACGCAGCTCTCTCAGTACGTATTTTTATACCAAAAAATAAAAAAAATTAAAAAAACTCTAGTCTCGAAAAGAACATTAAAGAAATTTCTCCAGTGATTGTCATATTCATTTTGGCTAGCGAAAAAGAATAATTTTTTAATGAATAAATTAAATTAAATGAGAAAAATTCTAAAGTGTAAGGGTATTAAAATTTAAGTTGAATGATTAGTTAAATGACATAAAATATGATTAAAAATTTTATTAAAGTTTAGTGCAATTTTTTATATAAAAAATGACAATTTTTTTAATTTTGAGAGTGGAGAGATTCTATAGTTTGAAAAAGTATTTTTCCTTTTTTCAATATAAATAAAAAAAAAAATCGTGTAAATATTGAGAAAAAAATGAAGTAAACTGAAAGGAAATCCAAATCGTATAAATATTAAGGATGTGTAATATGGATGTAAATGGAGGGTATTGGTTGGGGTGTCTTAAAAATTTAAGGCTTAAACCAGCGTTGAAATACAGCAAATTGTGAATATCTAGTCTACTTAAACTCTAATACCAAAAGAAACCCATCAACAAATCCTCCAAAGCTCCAATATTACTTAAAAAAGTTAAGGAAATGATAATAACTGAAATGAATGAAAATTATTTGATTGTTCAACAGTAAGAAATTTTTGAATTTGAGTCTTAGACTCAACTTCAGTATCATTATAGCTAGTCATAAAACAAATGAAAATTATGAAAAAGAAAAAAACCATAAACGTTTTTAACAATAATTATTAAAATAACTTAATAGAAATTACAAATAATAATAATTCGTTCGAATTCCATCAGCGTTATGTATTTATATGTGTGAATGTTTCAATCAAATTTAAGAGATAAATGAAAATAATAATGCGATGAAACAGTTTTTATACATTATTTCATCATTACTGTAAAACTTTTTTAAATAAGATGCAATATTTTTGTAAAAATTATTATCTTCACATAATAACGAAAAAAATGGAAGTAATCGTCAATCGATACAGTTTGAAGGGTTTGGAATGGAATATGGTTTGGATTGCAAGCATCCTGATCTTTCTAGTGTTTGTGGATTAACACCAACTCTATTTAACACCTTAAAATTCTTTCGTAAAATTTTAAAAAATGAAAAACTCAATTTAACTTAGTTGAAAAATTATGTTTTAATGAAAATTGATCTCAAAAATCCTATTCCAACCCCTTCAATCTAATTCCTAACCTACCGTCTCTTAATAATCACCTTAAAACATCTCAATTTTTTTGATTATTTTAATTACAAACCTTTGAGTTAACTTAAGAATGTACATATATAGACTGTCATAGTTTAAAAATCTTTCGTTGCTTATTACGACTGATTTAATTCTGATTTTGTAACAATTCTTTATTATTTTTTAGTCCAATTGACTGTGATTTTATTTATTTATTCCTTTATAAGTTCATCTAGTCATTTTATTTATGTTTTACAGATCAAATTTTTTATTTACTTTTTAACTTATTTATTTTTTTATTTTAAAATAATATTGAATATACCATTCAAACAATCTAAATGTAAAAGTATTTGTAACTTTTAACTGAAAAAAAATCAATGTGAATAAAATGAAAAAGTTTTTTGCTTAAAATTTCAATGAAAATTCAAATTGTTTTCAGTGTCTTTTAAAGATTTTTGTTTCAGAAGTTCTTTACATTTTTAAACAAAGATTATCAAATTGATTCTATAATTAACATCCTTACATTTATTGTTGTACACGAAGATTCAGTAAGAATTTTTGATAAATTAATTTGTTTTTTCCTTTAGTTTTGGAAAATGAATAAGTAAATGCTGAGAAACCAACACTAAAAGGTGCAGCCAATATGTCATTTTCTGATTTGTGAATTTCATCAGAAGTTAAACACTTCAAAGGAGCGCCTTCATGATTTAATTCATATTTGATCATTTTTGTAAGCTCTTTATAACTACAGCAAGAGAGAAATCCAGCATTTACATTATTTATATTATTTTTAAGTCTTTTATCATCTAAATTTTTGCATTCATCATCTCTATCACTGCACATTTCTGGGTCTCTTTTTTCAAATGCATCAGAACCAAAATTATAATTCATTATGACAAATGCAAGACAATGTCGAGTTTCAACATTAAAGAAGAGTTTCCAGATTAGTTTCGGGACTTGAATACGTGGAACTGTATCATAAGATCCTGTAATGTTACTCATAAATACATCACGAGCACCAATCTTGAACTGACCATGTCCTCCAGTAAAAACAATTAAATCTGCTTTATCTGATTGTTTTTTTACATTATATTCAATGTTTTCCCATGCGTTTTGATTGAATACTTGCCATTGCGGAACTTGATTTAGATAAAAATATGTTGCTTTTTTCCACGATTGAAAAGGTTGATCACCATTCGGGTTCAAGTGTCCTTTTGATAAACGATCATCAGTGTTTAAATTTATTTTTTTAAAAAATGCTTTTTCATTGGTGTCATTATAATACTTTTTAACATTATCTGCTGTATTTTCATCATATCCAGAACTGTCCCAATACTCAGTGCCAAATGTTTTCATACTCTTGCCCATATTGCCTTTGTATAAAACATGTTGCGAATAAAAAGTTGATTCCAAATACTTGTTGTGACAAACAGTTGTTAAAGGCATAAAATGAACAATTTTATTATTATCCTTATCGGGTGCTATTAATTCATATCCAATTTCAAATATTCTTCCTTCAAGATTTTGCCCACAAGAACGTGAATTGTAAAATTTGGCTATTGGAGCTTGATCTTGCGGACATACAGTATTAATCGGTGGATCGAATTTGTCATTTATACAGTTTGATCTTGTTAAAACTGGTGGTTTTCCTTCTGTAAATATTTAAATTATTATTATGTCCTTACATTTTTCTGGATTACATACTTGTTTGTCGACAGAATGAGTAAAGATCTTCGCCATTTTCGACAGTTATAAATCCATTTCTGGGTATGTTAAAATAATACTTTTCAGGATTTAAACTTTTTGATAGAAATAATGGCTCCACTGCACCTTTTGTCACTAGATTTTTAACTTCAATTTTACAAGAGCATAAAACTGATTTAAAGAAAAACAGAAATGCAACAAAAATCACAAGACTTAGTTTTCTGAGAATTTCCATTGCAAACTAATTATTCCGAAGCAACAAAAGCTCTTTTTTATAGAAAATTATCATTTAAATTAATATTATCATAAGTCATTGCTGATTGAATATAGTTTAAAAACTAAATGATCACAGTTTTTTTTTCATGAATCAAGATCATGTTGTTCTATGAATAAAGCTTTTTAAAGGATTGGTCACATAATTTTATTCAAACTATGAAAACTAGAATTTGTATTCATTCAACTAAGCATAATATCGAATTTCTCAGAAAATTCTTGATAACAAGATTAAAATTATATAAACTTGAAATGACAAGACGAACAAAATGCATCACCGTTTCGATAAGATTTTTTTAAACATGCGTTTAAAACTAATAGAACCTTAGTTAAATGGTTTGAATATAAATCAATTAATACAAAAGAAGATTTCATTTGTAAGCAAGATTTTTCAGAACTTTCATTATTATTTTAATCTAATCCTTCAAAACTAAATCGTATGATTTAAAAAAAACCGTTGATGTGTAAAATTCAGATTTACCTGCAGCCGCAGTACACAAAACTTTTTGGTACGAAAATCTCAAGAATTAAGTTTTTAAAAATTTCAATAACTAATGAGATTTAATCATCAATATTATAATATGTGATTTGCAATTCAAAACTAAATCAAAAGTCTTTCAACAGCATAACAAATTAGACATTGAATAATACAATTTTTAAACAAAAACGTTTAATCGAATTAGATTGGTTAAAGTTTTCAATTATCCGATTCAAACAATTCAAAAAAATTAAAATTTTCCCCCAATTTTCGCTAATTTTATAATTTAAAACTCACTTTAATGTCTCAAAAGTGATTTAATTTCAATATAAAAACATCATCAATAGGAGATAATCAAAGGATTTAATTTATTTAAGGTAAAAATGCGAAAAAACTTGTAAAATTTATTTTTTTCATATGGATTTTGGTTTGCATCAAATTTTTTACTTTTTTTCAATATGAAATACAACAACACTGCTTGTTGAGCACAAAAAACAACCAGACGCAAATAAATCGCCATTTTCTTGCATTAAACTGTACTTATTTACGTGAAAACCGATTGTATAAAAGTTTATTTTGTGATACAATTCGACTTTAAGGGAATTATGGATAGATTTTCATAAAGGTGATTTCTTAGAGTGTTTGTGAAAAAGTTTTTTTCTTCATTGAAAAATTTTTCAAGCTCAATTTTTCGTTTGTCGTGGAGAAAATTTATGAATTTTTAATAATTTTCAATTCTTATTGTAAAAAGTTTTTGCAGCTACTTAACTCGTTATTTAAGGTTCTCACTATCGCTTGACCTAAAAGACCTTTAACAGGTCTATCAGATTCTCAACAAAAGAAACATTTCAAAAATGATTTTTTTTTCTCTCTTCTTTAAATCACTGTGGGATTGCGTCTGGGTGTATTCATCAATTATTACATCCAAATCTGATTATTTATTTGTAACTTCTCTCAATTTCAGCAAAAGTTTTAGTAACTTATTGAGAAAGAATGGTGAATCGAAGAAAGAGAGCCGCTAAGAAGAGCAATGAAAAGGATTCTACAATTACAAAAGATTCGGATAATGACGGTGAAATAAATGAAAGTATAGACAATATAGTTCAAGAAACTGTCAGTGAAGATAGTAGGAAAAAGTCAAACAATAATAGCAGAAAGAAGAAAACGACAGAGACTGAAAAATTAGAAGAAAGTGAGAAAGTAAGTAATCGAACGAGAAGACGTGGAAAAGATCCAGAAGAAAATGATAAAGAATCTGAGAAACTGGAAGAGAATCACAAAGATTCAGTTGAGAACAATAAGGATCCAGTAGATTCAGAGGAAAAGGATAAAGACACAGAAGAAAATAGCAAAGATCCAGCAGAAAACAATGAAATTGATGATTCAGTGCAGATAATTGAAGAACCAGTTAATTCAGTACAAAGTATTGAAGATTCAGAGAATGAAGAAGCAGTAGTGAATGATCAAGAACCAGAAGAAACAAATGGAGATCCATTAAACTGTTCTGATCCAGAAATTGATGAAAATTCAAAAACAGTTAATGAATTCTCAGATGAAGAAGAAAGTTCTCCATTAAATATTGAAAATTATCTTCAAATTGAGAGTTCACTTCAGAATGACGAAGAGAACTCAAAACAAGATCAGGAAAATAACATCCAGGACGAGGAAAATGCTTCAGAAAGTGGTGAAAACTCAAGGCAAGAACAGAAAAATGATGACTCAAATGACGATACACAGAAAGATGATAAACCAGCGCCAGGTTTAAGACTAGTGCCATTGAATTTATTATTAAGGCAAGATATTTTGGACGGCAAGAAAAAGGACAGTTCCAAATCCACTAGGAAATCGACAGGAAGGAACCGTAAGAAGGCATCATATATCGAAATTAGCAGTGATGAGGATGATCAAATTTCATTAAGCAGCGAATCATCTGAATCTGATAAAAGCAGTAGTGATGATGAGGAGGAAAGTTTATCATCATTAAAGCGCAACGCAAGAAAAAATAAAAGTACAAAATCTAGTAAACTAAGTAATGGCACTAAAGATAAGGTTTTCAAGGAACCAATGTCTCCCACAAAAATCATAAAAAATGCAAAATCAGTCTCGATAAATTTAGAAAAAATGCCAGATAATGTAAATAAGTTGATGAAATGCTATCGTGTAAATGATGATCCAATCGAAATGTGGTCAGAGAGTGACGATTTTGAGAATATGATTTCGACATCAAAGATCGATCGAGTTGCATTGGACAAAGAGAAGCAAGATCAAGAAGTAGTTGAAAATGTACGACCTGCTCCAAGAGAATTAAAACGAACTGGCAAGGTTAAGAAAACTGAGGATGTTGAAACAGAAAAGTCAGAAAAATCAGATAAATCTGAAAAATCCAAGAAGGAAAGCTCAAAGAAACATCACAAGGAGAAAGAGGTAAAGACACCAACACGATCAAGATCAACACGAAATGCAGCCATGAATAGGAGAAAAATTGTTGACGATGAATCAGAATCCGAAAAAACAGAAAGTGAAAATGAAAGTGAAGAAGATGTTCCATTAAAACTCATTGCCAAGTCAGCCACAACAAATAATAAACCCACGAGAAGTACAAGAGGACGAAATTCACTTGCAACGTCTGAATCAGAAATTGATAAGGAATCGACATCAAAAGAGCAGTCGAAAAATAATTCAGAGGATGAAAGTGCAAAAGATTCAAAATCAAAGGAAGAGAAAACAAAGGATAAAAAAGTTAAGGATGATCACTCAAAAGAAAAACTTCCTAAAAGAACTCAGCGACAAGAAAGCAGCTCAGATGAGGAAGAAAAGGAAAAGGAAATAAAATCGAGATCCACAAGATCGACTCGAAACAATAAGGAACAACAGAATGCAGCTAAGAAATCCAAAACTGAATCTAAACCAACATCAGAAAAGCGATCGTCACCACGAAAAGAGAAAACATCAAATTTAAAAATCACAATAAGTTTAAATCAGAAGAAAGTCATCAATCATTCTAATGATGATATTGATGAATCATCAAAGTCTGACAGTGATATTAGTAGTAAAAGCGACAGTAATAAGGAAGTTAAGAGAATAAGTAAAACTAAGAAAATCTCATCAGATACATCGGATAGCGAGGATGAGCCATTAACAGCACTTAAAAACAAATCACTCGAGAAAGACAAAAAAGAATCCAGTGACAAAGAAAGCGATAGTTCAGACAAAGAGAAGGAACAATCCGATGGAGACGATACATTGCCAATAATTGACCAGAAACTCAGAAATCGGAATAAATTTGAAGCAAATAAAGACTTCAATAAATTAAAGGAATTAATAGAGCAGAAGAAGAAAAAACGAAAGGATAGTAGCGACGAGGAAGAAACCAAAGATAGAGTAAGGAAGAATGATAAGGGAAAGGAAAATCACGACAAAAACGGCGAATCAACTGTAAATAAGAATTAAATTATTAAGGCTTTTCATTTTTCCGACTAGAAATTGAGCTTGCATTGTAGATTGTTTGTAGCTTTGGGATTGAGTCTAGTGTATGAAATCTACAATAGACTCGAGCTTTGAATCCTGCTAATTCTATTAGAAAATCAAAATTATCTTAAACTAATAAACATTCTATTCAATCCACAGAATAAGACATCAGAAAAGTCAAAGCGTAAACGACTTTTATCAAGTAGCGAAGAAGAAGAAGCAAACGAGGACAAAGACGACGAGAGCAGCAGTAGCAATAAAAAGAAGAGGTAATTACTGCATTTTTATGCTCATAAAATGTCATCAGTAAATATATATTTCTTTAAATTCAATTAATAGCAGCAAAAACGATCTTGAAACACCTGCAAAGAAAAGGAAGAAAAACATGGATGAAGATTCTGATTACAATAACTCTGGCGGTGAAGATGAAGACAAGAATAGTGATGAAAGTCAATCGAGCGATGATGAAAATGCTGGTAAAAGAAAAGTGAAACGAAGTTCTGATGATGAAGATGAAGACATAGATGAGCTTGAGAAAGAACGTTCAAAGGCAAAACGCAGGAAAAGAATAAAGAAAATTGCTAGCAGTGATGAGGATGGTGATGAAAAGGGTGGAAAAGCATCTGGTCGTAAAACTATCCGTAAAATTATGAAGAATGATAAATTGGATATTTCTACAAAAGAAGCAGCAAAAATTGAACGAGAACGTAAACAGCGTATTGAGGAACGTCAGAAGACTTATAATCAATTTTATGATGAACGTCCAGAAGAAATTAAAGAAATCACTTCATTAGTTCTTGACTATGATGAAGAAACGAAGGAATCGATCCTTGAAGTCGATAAAAAGTTAGTCAAGAAGCTCAAACCTCATCAGGCTAATGGTATTAAGTTCATGTGGGATGCATGTTTTGAATCTGTTGAACGATGTAGAAAGGAATCTGGATCTGGATGTATCTTGGCTCATTGTATGGTAAGTTGAACATCATAAATTGATATTTATGAACTTGTTTTTAACAATTTCCGTTCTTATCTCCTACAGGGTTTGGGAAAAACCTTACAAGTTGTGACTCTCACTCATACCCTCCTCAACAACAGCGATGATACTGACGTTACTCGAGTATTAGTTGTATGTCCTTTGAATACTGTACACAATTGGGTCAATGAGTTCCAAAAGTGGCTGAAAGGTATTAGAGGATATAACGAAATTGAAATCTATGAAATCAGCAAGCTAAAGCAAAATATTGACCGTGCTAATAAATTAATGGAATGGCATAATGAAGGTGGTGTTATGATCATGAGCTACGACATGTTCCGTAACTTGACAAATGACCAGAATAATCGTTTGCGCAAAAAGATCAAAGAATCTCTTCAGACATCATTGATAGATCCAGGTCCGGATCTAGTCGTTTGTGATGAAGGTCATTTACTTAAGAATGAGAAAACATCAATTTCAAAGTGCATGATGAAGTTGAGAACTTCTCGTCGAATTGTTTTGACTGGTACACCATTGCAGAATAATTTAAAAGAATACTACTGTATGGTTCAATTCGTCAAGCCTAATTTGCTAGGAAAGTATCAAGAATATATGAATCGATTCGTAAATCCAATCACAAATGGACAATATACTGATTCTACCGAATATGATATTCAAGTTATGAGACGACGTGCTCACGTGTTGCATAAAATGTTGGATGGATGTGTTCAGGTAAGGTTAAAGATTGATTTCAAACCTTGATAATTTTTAACGAATTATTTTCAATTAAATTTTAACAGCGTCGTGATTATAATGTTTTGGCGCCATTTTTACCACCGAAACATGAATATGTCCTCTCAATAAAACTATCACCAATGCAAGTGACACTCTACAAGCACTACATGGAAAGTAAAGCACGTCAAGGTGCTGACACAGCCCGTAAAGGCTCAATTCTATTTCAAGATTTCCAAAATCTTCAGCGTATTTGGTCAGCACCAAAGGCATTGCGATACAACAGCGATCGTTATGAAGTCGAAATGCAACGCAAGCGAGACTTAGAGTCTGAAGATGAAAGTGAAGGTTCAATTAAGGACTTTATTGATGATTCTGAGAGTGCTGTTTCTACTGGGAATAGTTCGTCTGAAGGTGGAAGTGATGACGATGGTCAAAGCATTAATTCCGATGAAGAAAAAAATAAAAAGAAGAAGAAGAAAAAGGATAAAGGCTTTGCTGCCCCAAGAAGAACAAGAGCTGCAGCTGCTGCATGTAAGTTAATTGCTTGCTTTAATATTCCAAAAAAATTAATCTAAATTTTCTCATCAAACAGTTCCAACAGAATTTCAAGCTGAGGAAGAAGAAATTGCAGCAAGTTCAAAATTAGAGAATCCAACAGAATGGTGGACACAAGTGTGTCCAGAAGAAGAATTAAATAATATCGAGCATTCCAGTAAATTAATGCTACTTATGTCTATATTAGAAAAATGTGAAGCTATTGGTGATAAGTTATTAGTGTTCTCACAATCTCTCTACTCCCTTGATGTCATTGAACATTTCTTAAATTATATTGACGATCAAACCCAACATAATATTGAAGATGCAACCTTTAAAGCATCGTGGACACTGGGTCAAGATTATTTCCGTTTGGATGGTTCAACACCCGTAGAACAGCGAAGTCAAGCATGTAAACATTTCAACAGTTCTGATAATCCACGTGCAAGATTGTTCCTTATTTCAACGCGTGCCGGCGGTCTTGGTATTAATCTGGTAGCTGCTAATCGTGTCGTCATTTTTGACGTGTCATGGAATCCGTCACATGATATTCAAAGTATTTTTAGAGTTTATCGTTTTGGACAGACTAAACCTTGTTATATTTATCGGTTTATTGCTCTGGGAACAATGGAAGAGAAGATTTATGAACGTCAAGTAACAAAGCAAGCTATTTCAAAGAGAGTCATCGATGAACAGCAAATTGATAGACATTATAATCAGAATGACTTGCAAGAACTCTATAAATATGAATTAGAGCCAGACGATGAGGTTCGTGAAATTCCAATCCTTCCAAAGGATCGATTATTTGCAGAGATGCTTCAAAAGTATGAAGATACCATTTGGAAATATCACGAGCACGACACACTTCTTGAGAACAAAGAAGAAGAAACATTAGATGAAGATGAACGTAAGCAAGCTTGGGATGAATTCGAACATGAAAAAACTCGTCCACAACTACAACAATATTATCCACAGCCTCAAATTAGAAATACTGGTCCAGTTACGTCTAATAATATCTTTGGAATAAGAACTGATATTCTACTGAAGTTATTGTCAATGAAAGCAAGACTTGATAATCCAACAATTTCTGAAGCTAATGTCAAACATGCAATTCCATTGTTGATGCAAGAACTATATAGGCAGATGGATCGTGGGGAGTTGACTGTAAGTATTTATAGCATTTAGCACACTGACGAGTGCTCTTATTGACCAAATTCTGACAAAAATAAACCTTACTTTCCACAGTTGTATCAACAATTACTAGCCCTATCAAGCTCATTAGAAGTTCCACAAAATTATGGAGGAAAGTTCCAAATTAACGAAGCTTTGATGCATCAGACATACAATAGTATTAATTCTATGCCGTCAACATCATCACATGCAACTAATTTGTATCGCTCACAGGTAATATTCTATAGCTTTATGTCTGTCAAATCGACAATTTTTTAATATATATTTTTTTTTTCTCCTATACAGCTTCTGGCTAGACAACAAAATTTGTCAGCACAACTTCAACGACAAAAGCAGATGAGACGAATGAGTGATACTGTAATTGAAATCGATTAAATTCTGACGAGACTTTATAAAAAAAAAAATTAAATTTAAATAAGAATAAATAAAATAATATTTAATTGAAATTCAAAAGGAAGAATGTGAAGCACATAGACACACACATAAATTTTCAAATTTTTAAGTTTTAAGAAATATTAGTTTAATGAAAAATCATTTTTAAACATCTAATTTTTTTTTTCATTTATCGAAAATTGAATGATATGTGAATAAAAAAAGGAAAATAAAAGAAAATAATTGAAAATTGTTCACGTAAAATAAGTTGAAGCTCATTTAGTTCTTATGATTTTTTAAACGCTCAGTTCCTAGACTTACCTTTTTTACTCTACTAGTGTAGCTTCTGAAGCAAAGTTAGTCAATATGTTAAGATGCAGCACGATCTTATAAGAAGCACATAGAAACTTTTGGATCAGATTCAACTAGCAATTCTTCATGCTGATTTAAGTAAGTTTTTATCAACTGACAATCTTCTTCAAGCGTTTTACAACCACAATGACCAACAAAAGCTACATAAATTTCAAATCTTAGCTTACAACAATCGCAATAAGTATTGCCAATAACATCTTAATGTCAAGCTTAAATAGAAATTTGCCCAAGACAATAAATTAAACTTTAACTACGCCTAATACCACCTAAAATTAGCAAATTCCAATTTTTAACAATTCACCGCATTTTTTAACAAATTCAAAAATTTCACCTTCTTTTGCCGTGCCGCCTTCACCATTAGGAGCTTAAAATTGTACATTACTTACAAATTTAATGCTTCATAAATCACCCATTTGCAATCGTCTCAAATTTGATGAGCTTCATTTTTCTCACTTTTAGTCGTTTCTAAGGTCTTTAATTAGAATTCCAGCATAAAAAAAACATTAACAATTATACTCAAATTTCGAAATTCTCTCGACTAAAAGCTGCTGAAAAGTATTTTACTTAAAAAATTTGTTTTCCAAGTCTATTAAAAACAATTCTGACACTCTAGTCAAAGCAACATATGCACTGCATGTATCTACCCACTCGAAACATTTCATTTCCTATAATGACCATCGAAATCCTACCTTTTTCTCTCAAATGTTATCAAATGCCTTAATTTTGTCTGACAGTTTTGACTTGATTACAATGATAATTTGTGCTGATGTTGTCAACATACACGAAACATCAGCTTGTGTAATTATGATTTACGTATTTTATGATGGATGTAATATGATTGTTTTGTACATAAAAGTGCTTGAAAAACAGAAAATTAGGAAAGAGAAGCAACATGTGGTAAATGAGCTTCACCTCTGGCCATTTTTAGATTAAATTTGAAGTTTGAGTAAATTATGATAATTTGTTAACTGCTAGCATATTTATATTAACACTTTATGGTACAATAGCTTCAAAATTAATATTTACAGCTCAAATTTATTTATTTCTTTGGTCTTAAAAAACAAATAGCCAATAATCTATAAATTTATACTATGTCGAACATCCAATAATTACATGTCAATGAACTTTCTAATAAATAATTGTCACTGAACTTTTGGTGCCGACAATCTCATTCACCATGCATGTTGCAATTATCATTTTTGGTTCACCGAGCACTTAATGTAATGAAATTAATATTTTTCATAAGAATTTTAAGGAAATGATGCAACAATGGACGGCAAAAGTCTGTAATTTATTTGAGATTATAATGATGGGACGATTAAATATCAATTTTTGTAAATAATTTTTCATAATGGGATGTTTGGCACTTCCTTTGGTTTGAATTTAATTGTTTTTGAGTAGATGGAATGAGATTGATTCATTTTGAGTTTTGCATTTAAGTTTGCATTCTGGTAAGTTTTAAAAGAAGATTTTATAGCTTTGCGGGAAGATTTTAAGACATCATTTGTCAACATGAGTTCAAATCCTAATTACATATCACGTCAAATTTACCCAAATTGCACCATACCTAAAACATTACAACAATCTCAGTCCTCTCACTTTTGTACTTAAAATTCAGTCATCAGCTATTATTAGGGTGACCATCTAATTTTTATGAAAATACAGGACATTTGATAAATTTCCTAAAAAATACAGGACACAAAGGAAAATTTGAAAATTAACGGAAATTTTCTTGAAAAAAATACAGGACCTGGAACAAAATTTTCAAATTTATACAGGACAGGGTTTTGAAATACAGGACTGTCCGTTGTAAAACTACGCAGATGGTCACCCTAGCTATTATCACAGCAAAAAATTCATAAAATTAATATCTATGCAAAAACGGCACTTAATGAGATTTAAAATGACAATCTCATTAAAAAATCAAAGAAACAATAATAATCCGAAAGTGTTGTCCACATTTCATTGCAGTCAAGGATTTTTGTTGTCTTTCTTCAAATGATTACTCAATTGTTTTTGGGAGATTATTGACTCTTCAGTCCTCTTAAGATCTTCATCGCCTTACATCAACATGATAATGATGATTATGAAGGCTCATTTGTCTACTTTTAAGAAGAAGCGGAAGATAATGATTTTTTTTTCATTCGCTGGGTGTTTCCGTTATTATCATTTTAAAGACATTATAAGGAGGATAAGTCTTGTGTAAATTTGACATTAAATCTCTGTAAAATGTTTGTCTTTTGATTTTAACTTTTAAGAGACGAAATTTTAATGATTTTTGAAGAGATTTTTGGTATTGGAATGCTTATGGACCATGATCTATGTCTTATAATGTTTGAAGATGTGAGCAAATAGAGCTGATGAATTGAAGTAGCTTAGTTTAATGCGGTAGGAAAAATATTGAGGTTTGATTGGATACTTGTGGGCTTCTGGAGAACTACATTGATTCAATGTCATTTTTACCACATTCGGATTTATAGCTTTCTGATCCTATTTGTTCCTAACCGCAGTCAGCTTAGTTCTGTTGATTACAAGATCCTTGTCAAAACTATATGCCTAAGTTTTAGTCCTCAAAGGCTTTAGACTAAAGTCCCATATTAGTTGACAGCTTATTCCTTTTTCAGACATAAAAAATCACACCACAAACAATACAATCCTCAAAAACTGCCCACAGATTCCAAACTAAACATCCTTAATGTCCAGCATGAGGTTTAAAAATAAACATCATAAAGTTTATTGACTCTATTGATTTATGTAACTATTCATATCCATTATTGAAAATGTTAGTCGCTAGACATCATTTCATCTTTGATATTATTCACCGCACATCCTTATACATCTATTTCTCTTCCCATAAAATGTTATAAATTCATAAAAAAAAAGTTCAAAAAATTATGCAACATCACAAAAGAAATTTAAATATTTTACTGCTTATTATTAACTTTTATTTATAACACAGCATATAGCGATTGTGTTTCATAGACCACAGACAGACAGGTTAATATACAGAATCAATGGATGTGGATAATGAAATCTATTGAAAAAATATAGCTGACCTACTTGAATAAGAAACAATCTTCTGTTTATTTTTTATTTCGCAGCCTATAAGATCATTAACCTTGAATTTGTTTCTTCTGTGAATCTGTTGGGGATTTTGGAGATTAGAAAAAGGTTTAATATTGTTATGCAAATGAAGGTGAAGTAGCGCTTTACTTGAGGTATTTTACACTTTTTAAGATCTCGCTTCAAGCTAGTCTCTAAGGTCTAACTTTAAGCTAGTCGGAAGCTACTAAATTTGCAAATTTTGGCTAAATTACTATTTAAAGCTAATCACGATCATCTCCGTTTTCAAAACACATTTCACAATAAGCCATTAGACAAGCAGACACATTTGTTACAGTAGCACAGTCAGCATTCCCGTCATGATCGATTTTTATGAAAGCAACAAATTATGTCACTATTAATTCACAAAAGGCATACGTACACATATCCACAAGAAAGAGAAGATGAGAAAAAGACATAAATGTTTTTGCAGAAGCAACAGACAAAAAGAAGAGAAACCTCAATATGACAGCATTTGAGAGAAATTTAAAGATCATTAATAAAATCATCATATATTTTTTTTGCTAAGTTTACAGATATGCACTTAAATTAGTCGCGATTCGATTTTCTATTTGACCATTAAATATTGACATAACGAATGTGATCGAGTGACATCTTCAAATGCAAAAGAAGACGCGACATGAAAAGAGGAAGAAAGTGAGTTTTTTTTTTGGAGAGACTGAGACTGAAGATGCATACATAATGTGATAAAGAAAAATATTAAAATTAATCAGTTTCTACCGGATAGCATGTTTGATTTTGTGCAAATAATCGTTGTTTGGGGTTATTTAAATCATTCCCTTCCTTGATACCAACAAAATAATAATGATTGAGTTTACAATCTTAATCTCATATTAAATTTTAATTGGTATTCCACGCATTTCACTGAATTACTTTGAGTCATAAAGGCGTCAAAAGTAAATTTATCTGTTTATAACTCTCGTTATTTATTGATATGCTGGGAAAGAAATAAGAAAAATAAGAAATGATGAATTATGGAGAAATAAAAAGTTTTCAAAGACGATTAAAACTTCATTTTAAATGTCATAAATGACGCGATGTGTTGATTTCTATGAATTATGTGAGAACAATAGCCCACCATGGGTGCATGATCGATGCTTATGAGGATTTGATTTTGAGATTACATTTGTATATTTTTTATTGTTGTGAAAATGTAGATATTCGATTGAAGTTGAGTTAAGAGCAGCTTTGAAGCTTGTTCATGTATGATGTTAAAAAATTTAAATCCAAAGGTATGGAACTACTTACTCTCCTGAGTATCGACGTAAGATAGCTAGTGCAATTTTTGATAAATTATTACATAAGCAAAAAATCTATAATTCTATAAATTTCCATCTCTTAATTCCAAATCTGATCAACCTTATTTATATGGAAATTTCGATTGTCTTCCTGTGCATTCTTTTATCTCAAAACGATGTGATTATTAAAAAATATATGCAAGCATAACATGCAATATCCATACCATAAACAACTTAAATTTATTAAATGTTAAAAAATTTCAGTAAATGCTATGAAGATGTCAATCGACTGCTTATTGGTGAAATAATTCTTATTTATTGCTTGTACGATTGGATTATTTCAATTTAATGAAGTAAAAATTGGTTATTTTTTGAATAATAAGAAGTTATTGGGATGACGTTGACAACAAAAGTGTGGGAATGTTTAGGAATTTTTTGAGGTTTAATGCACTTTGGTGAATCGCTAGACTAATGAGTCAGTTTATGCGAACTATGCAAACTCACAACACTAAGTTCTAAAAAATTGAACAACAAATATCAAATCAAGTGAAAGTTTTCATTCAAACAAAACAAAAAAATCATTTAAATAAGAAGAAGACATAGAAAAACATCAACAACATTGTGTATGATTTACTTCACATTACATACTCGACTATCGAACTAAAGTAGAAAGATGAGAAATAATATCTGCACTAGTAGGTGTCAAATAGTCATAAATTGTAATCAAATCGATTTCTTACAGATCATCAAAGTGATTTAAACTTTCTTTCTGTCTCATTAAAAGCTTGATTGTCTTCTTTTTATCCACAATTATGATACAATCGACCGGTCACAATGCAGGTGTAATCGATTTTTGTGTTTTTGTTGTTTTGCTGAATTGAATGAATTGAAAAATTATGAAATTTAAATTTTCTCTGATTTTTTTTTGTGTTTAATTTACCGCCTTATCGAATTTATTGATAGATATTGGAAATAAGCCACAAAAATATGAGAAATTGAAAAGGCTGTTGTGAGAAAATTTGGATATTTATGAAGTATTTAGTGGCTGTTAATTGCCCACGGGTGTGGATAGTAAGGATTATGATTTAATAGCGCTGATTTCGGAACTATCACACGCTACAATCGTGGAAGCTCGTTTAATGTTTCAACACATAAAAATTAATTAAAATATTTGGGTGTAGTTTATTTTGGGGTCTAAATTGTTAATTTGATTTGATTTGTTGAATTGATAAATATCAAAATGAACATGTTAAGAGTTGTAATCAGAGATTGCGATAAGTTTATTATGATTTTTGTGGATTTAATAAAGTCAATTAGGAATCTGATGTCAATGGGAGTGGGTATTGAAGCAACATTAAGTATTGATGATTTCTAATTCATAAACCTAATTTTACACAAATAAACATGCTTTTCAATAGCTTTGATTAATCTTCAAAAATCTCAAATCTCACCAAAACTTACATCAATTTTCCAGATTACAATCAAAGCATCGATCACCCTTTGAACTCTCAATTCATGAGAATCATCGCTCACTGCTGAGAAACTATGTTAACCTTCCGTAAAAAAAAATAATGAATAAAAAGAAAGCAATAATAAATTCATTAAATTTTTACACATACCGGTTATTGCATGTAACCTTTTACCAGTTTTATTTTTGTTTTTTCGCAGCTTAAAGTCAAATTTTAAATCTTTTTCCTGTCATCTGGACTCATCAGTCAAAATAACAAAAGTTATGTAATCAATAAATACAACTTTATTATGGGAATATGCATAATTCAGCTGTGTAAAGTTTAAAGCCGAAGAATCCTCACACGTGCGAATCCTGACCTTTTGTGGATTTTGTTGGAGTCAAAAGTCAATTTGTCGATTTGGTTACTGAAGTTTTTACTGAATGAGATTGTTACGTTGGAGTATTTTGGTATTGGAAATAGATTACTTAGGACAATGACTTTGGTTTGCTTTAAGAATTGCTAGTAAATGAAGTTTGTTAAAAATAGTAACACAATAATCAGGATGAAATGGAATTGAAAGATGAGAATTGCAAGAATTGAGGACTTGCTGAATACTTACTGTTTCTTTAAAAAGAAGATTTATTGTTCAATAGACTTGATTTTTAGAAAATAGCCACTCCAAAAACATGATCCAGATCAAAATTTTAATTTAGCCATAACAACTGAGTTTCAGCTCCAAAACTCCTTGCTAATGTCTAGAATAGCTTTATTTTTTAAGGCAAATGAGAGCAAACTCTTCAATTAATTCAATACAACACATTAAACCTCTCTTTTTAAATCAAAACCCTCACAACAATTCATGTTACTCAATATCAATCATTCACAGAAGCAACAATCAAGTCCATTCCAAGCCATTCACTTCTATATGATATGCAATCAACACTAAACACAATATAAATCCCCACACTAATTCACTCAAATTATAGACAATAGACTTCATTAATATATTCATTTCACTCACATTTTCGGCATCTCCATATCACCGGCAATTTTATGTCTAGAAATTTAAAAAGCTCAAGCGTTCGTTTTGCACAAAAAGAAGTCACACAACATCGATTATGTAAATTTTATATTATTTTATATTTCAAGCATTTGCCACTTGTCCCATAGAGATATAAAGTAAGACAAGATAGACAGAAATATTGAAGATCATCATTGACATCCAAAAAGAAGAAAGAAAAGTGAAATTTTTATGGAAAAGACATAAAATTATTGATGAGGTGTTGTGCTGTTATGCCACATGAATTGGAATGACCCTTAAACTATTCATCTGTAACTGTCAAAAGTTTATAAATGACACCAGCGTGAGATTTACTGACCGATTAGGGCTTATGGTAATTTGATCGATAGATTAATTTATAAAGACAATCATGGACTTGGATGTGCGGTTTTTTGTTATTTTGAGCTTTGTCGGTTTGTTTGTTTGTTTGGTAATTAAATTTAAATTAAAATATTATCTTTTCTAATTTTTGGTGTTATGTCAATAGCCTTTACAGGTATCAAATATTGTTTACTGACCATACGCAAGCTTGTGATACATTTGAATGATTTATGATGTATGATGTAAGCAAATATGGTAATCATAAATTGTGTTGTTTCTGCCCTAGATTTTGTGTTTGAAAAGATTTAAGGCTGGTATTTGAAATGATAAATTTCCTGGTGATTCTGATCAGCTATGTTGTTTTGAAGCATTTTATTGAGATACTTTTAAAGTAGTTTTTGAATAAAGTAACTGTGCAAAGTGCCAATCGATTCCATAAGCTTACGTTAAATTCATAGTACCTACATATCGTATTAATTAAAGGATGTTCGGATAGGACAAGTATTGTGCCTTAGAATCAAGTTTATCGCTGAATAAGTTGATCGTTAGATATTTTTGTGGCTTAAAATAAAGTCTAATGCTTCTCGGGCGTTGAGCGCTGAATATTTTTGTGGCTTAGAATCAAGTATCGGTGTGCCTTTACTAAATACCAATAAGTTGTTACTTTTATCGACTAATTCAACAAGTTTCTGATCATGCTTTATAATCTCTTCATGAATGTCCAAACAATAAAATTTCACCCAGGACTGTATCTTAAATCACATGAAAAACCTCGAGTCAAATAAATTTCCCACACTATCACTAAATGAGCATATTATTCCTTTCACCAAAACTCATCTGCAACCCAAAATTATTATGTCATGCATAAAAATCATCATAAAATTGACAACATTTTGTTTTTCTTTGTCACAGTTGAATTTTTTTTTATTTTTTATTATTATTATTATCATTCATACATATACATTTGTTTTCTTTCTATGTCTCATAGTAAGAAAATTTAAACAAACAAAAAAAAAAGATTGTAACAATCAATTAACAAATATTTACAAAACTATAACAGCAACACAGCACACGTAGCACCTGTAGTGAGATGTGAGATGTATTTTTTTTTCTTCGATTTTCTCTCGATTTTTCTTTTATCGTCGTTATTATTCAAAATCAGTTCATTTGCCTTTATGTAACTAAAGGAAGTATGTTAGAGAGTGGGGTCAATTATGCACCTTATAATAATTTATATGATATAATTTTTTTGTAGGAAAAATTCATCAATATGATTAACGATCGAGGAAGGAGGGTCAAATTTGTGTGAGAGCGAGCGACAATTTTTGACTTCCTATTGATGGCAATTAGTACTTTTTGTTTGGAGCACCATATGTGGCTTGTGGGTTTGGTGCTGGGACATCAAATCCACCTGAGAAACCACCAGCTGATGATCCTGATGATGAGCCTGAATATCCACCATTTCCATTTCCTGATGATCCTGAGAATCCACCAGCTGATGAGCCTGAGAAACCACCATTACCGTTTCCTGATGATCCAGAGAATCCACCATTATCAACTCCTAATGATCCTGAGAAACCACCTGATGATGCACCTGCTGATGATCCTGAGAAATCTCCAGCTCCAGCTCCACCAGCTTCCTTTTGTGTCTTGTATTTGATGAAGTAAACTTCTGGTTTGCTGACTGGAATGGCAGCTGGTTGTGGTGCTTCTGGGATATCAATATCTTCTGGTTTCTTAACCAAGACGTAAATCAAAGTCTTTTCTTCATTTTGTGCTTGAGCGGCAGCAATTTGTTGTGAGATTGATGGAGCTGATGGGGCCTTGATGAAGATGATCTTGTAGTGCTTTCTTGGTTGTGAGAATTGTTGAGCTGTAGCAGCGTTTTGGGCTTCTTCTTCTGGTGGTGGAACATGGACGTAGCTACATGATTTTTTGGGTAGGAAAAAAGAGAAATTTTTATTAATATTTGCAAATGCAAATTTTTGTTATTGTGGGATGTGATTTGAGATAATTTATTTAAATTTTGTTGAATTATTATTTTTTAGAAATTTTGCGGAAGTTTGGATAAATCTTTTTTAACACTTTTGGGGGATATTAGCTTTGAATAAGGTTGAATATCTTTCTTATCTTTGGGTTATTAAAACTTATGGGAGATTATCATTCTTCATAATTCATACATTAAGCTATTGCCGCAGCAATAGAAGTCACTTTATTTTGTGTTAATTGAACTATTTATCCTTCATAATCTTCACTTAACTGCCACATTTTTAAAAATATTTTTCTTTTAATTAAATATCCACAAACTTACATGTGCTTTTGTACAATTGTTCCTTGTGATCCAGCATCAGCTTGTCCAAAGCCAGCACCATTTCCGAATCCTCCAGCTGATCCACCATTTCCAAATCCTCCAGCTGATCCACCATTTCCGAATGATGATGATGAAGCACCACCACTAGCGAATGATCCACCTCCATTTCCAAAAGATTGTCCACCTCCGTTTCCGAATGAAGCACCACCCCCATTTCCGAATGAAGCACCACCCCCATTTCCGAATGAAGCACCACCACCATTTCCGAATGATCCTGATGATGCACTACCGAATGATGAAGATCCACTATTTACAGCACCGAATGATGGGGCTGAATATCCACCACCATTTGAAGCTGCACTAAATCCTTGATTAAAACTTTGTGCTGGTGCTGGTGCAGGCACTTGAGCTGGTGCATTATAATTATATCCACTTGGTGGTTCTGGACGAGCAGTTACGGCAACAGCCAAAACAGCAATTAACACAAAACTCCTCATATTTATGAAAAATTTATTTATTTTTTTAATTTTTCTAAAATAATCCTTTTTGGAAATAGAAACTCTTTTCACAACACTGTGTTATCTACGAAAGTGAAATTATAAGACTGATGATGCTTTTTGATGGTGAGGTCATATTTATATTCATCTCATCTGTAGTTGCGTGTCTTTTCATTCCCATACTTCTTCTCTTGTGGTTTTCATATCTCATTGAGAGATGCTTTCTTCTCGCTCATAAAATATCTCGCACCTTCTCTTTTCGATGATGAGCTTACTGACTTACATTGTTATATTATTGCTAATCTGACTGACTAAAATATTAATATATGCTATGTATGCATTTTAAATTTGTATTGATCTATTGGCGTTATGAGATAAGTTTTTTGTTGTTGTTGTGTGGTGTGGGATATACGTGCATAAATTAATGATTTTTTGCTGCTTTATTTTTTGGATAAATTTAAATTGGATGAGTGGAAAAAAAAATTTAACGGAAAGTTTTTTGAGAGACTCTTTTTTTTTGTATGTTTTGTAATAGAGTCAAGTGGACATGATGGAGAGAATTATTGGATATTTTGCGGTAAAAAAATATTCAAATTTGGTTCCGACTTTGGTTATAATTAAGTAATAAGGAGATTTAAGTAGGTTGATTTTATAATCTTATCTTAATGATATTTAGAGGATATAGGCTGCTTACTTGGTGATAAAAAGCTATATTTGATTCTTCCATTCTTCATTAAACTCATCTTCTGAAGAATTCTTCAATTTTTAACATATTTCCAAATCTCGAGCATTGAAATTTAACAAAATTTCCTCATAATCAGCACCGTTTTACGATTTTTGGGTGCTTCAATCCAAAAATTTTTACGACATCTTGCCTATTTTTAGCAAAAAAAGCAGCATTATCAATTCACAACCATCACCTCATTTGAATAGTTTATTAATTAATACAATGATCAATTTTCCATCACATTCTCTTTCTCTTAACCAAAAATCGATAATGCATGGTGAGAAAGAAGACAATCGCCAATATTTTTATGACCTTAAAGTTGTTTAAATTAGTGTAAAGGAGCCTAATCAAATCTTAATGAAACGTCTATTTTTCATTTGAGTAAATTTGCATTTTTTGAAATGTCGAAGATTGCAAATCTCTTTAAATTTTGGATAGGGATTAAATTAAGTTTATTGGCGAAATGCAAATGAAACGAGATGCAGTAGAAGATGAACAGTTGGAAGCTGATGATGTGGATGATAAGTGGTTGATCAGAAGCTTATTGCCAAGGAACAGCTCAAATTGATTGTTTTTTGGACATAAATGCAGAAATATTTATTCAGGATGCAAAGGATGTGTATTTGCAAGCTCAACGGAACTTAGCAATTGGTTCTAGAACTTCAATTTAGGTGACTGAGGCTCAGAAGTCCTGAATCTCACCCCAAACAAATGACTTAAGCTTCTGTAAATTATGCAATACTATTTGCCACTAGAAATTCCAAAAAATAATCAATAAACAATTCACGAGTACCTCCCAGAAGCAAGCAGTAGTGAGAAAGTGAGTTGTCAATATCAAGTTGCATGTTTGTATTCGTCCGAAGATAAACAAACAAGTTAGCAAACAATCCCATGCATATTCAACTAGATGAATTTTTTTGCAAATATTTTAAATTTTGTTCCGTTTCTTCAAGAGTAAAAGTTTGACAACATTTTTGGCAAAAGCAGAAAAAAATTGTGTGCATTAGTTTTTATGTCATATTTAAATTTATAATAGTCACTTTCATGTCGTGCATTGACGAGATTATTTATTTTGTAAAAATCGGCAAATGTTAAACTGTATCAATCACATTAATCAATATGAAACTCTCATCAGATTTGATTATTTGATGTTTATGCAATACTTTTCTTTGCTTTTTCATCCACATGCAAATTTGGACTAAAAAAATATTTTTTTTGCTCTCTTTTAAAATGATTTTTGAGGAGATTTGGGAAAAAAATGTGCAAAAGTCAAATTCAAGATTTATTGTAGATTAAGTAAAGCTGAATTTTGGATTTCGAGCTATTAATGGCTTCATTTGTAGTCTTGCAGTATTTGTAGAAGAATTTATACAGCTTCTTCGTCTAATTGTAACTACTTATGTATGTATCCTGTGTGAAAATTCTTCAAATATGACTTCTGAGTGAAGTTTGGCTAAAAAATCTCATTCGACTTCCATATTTCCATACAATAGTATGTTCTTCAAATTATTAGGGATTCTTCGGAGTTGAGTTTTCCTTCCGATGAAGAAGAATTGTTTGTTATTTAAGATTTGCGCCTTACAATTCAATACTTTAATGACTATCCTGCTTGTGCCTACGAAACTCACCACAAACCCAATACTCATCCACCAATAAAATATTTGATTCATTGTGAACAGAATCGAGAAAAATCATTTTAATGTACCAAAATATCATGCTGTGTATTAAATTGAGCATTAACCTTATTACTGATTACTCTGAATTTTAAAAATGATTTCAAATGTCTGAAAATTCAATTTTTATTTGCACTTTATTAAAAATTTATTTGAGGAATTGCTCAGCTTTATTGCTCACATAATGTGTTATCATAAGTGGGCGATTAAATTAATAATCGGCAGTAAAATTGATTCATAAATCTCTCATCGTTTGCTCACCTTTAGTGTGACTTGTTTATTGATCATTATTTGGTTTTTATGAGTATTGGGAATATCGAGGGGAAGAAAATTAGATTGCGATTCTACAATGCATGCGAATCATTTATAAATGGCGTCAAGAGAGAGGAGTGGATGTTGAGCAAAAGAAGACAATTAATCTTTTAATAATTGTTATTTTAAAACGTCATTTATGAACCACTCCTTCGATAAATCCCATCTTCCTATAGAAAAACATATTAAACTCCATGTTCTTCACCATTCCATTCCTTTACAAGCATGTTCATTTATTCAATCCTTATCATAACAACAACACATGTTCAACAGAAAATAATGGATTTAACAAGTAATTAAAAACACAACATACAAAGCAGAAGTCATTAATTTCACACTGAAAAATACAAAAGGGCACAAGAATTAAATGCGTAGGCTTCATGGGATTCGAATAATCTGCCACTGTAATATTTTCTTCTGAGCAAGAAGGGTTCGACATGGTACTGAAAATTATTTTTTGAAAAATCTTGTTGAGTCTGAGAAGGAAGGAAATTATGCAGTCAAAAAATTTCTCTATCAAAATCTATAAATCAGATTTCATAAAAATCTAAAGTCAAGGCTCCGGAACTCATCAATCAACCCAAATCATCTGATAACAATTTGACATTTTCACTCAATTATAATAAATTTCACACCCTTGATCATGATACATCAGAACCTCATGCTGTTGCTGATTTTATCGCCACCAGATATAAAATATATTAATGACCTTTAATTTAATTAATCACCGTATTAAACGATCAATAACCAATTTACAATATACCTGATAATTTTTCAATTAATGCTCAACTTCTTCTTAATCTTTTTGATTATCCCGTCTTGTTAACAAAAGAAGTGAAAAGATAAAGAAACAGAAACGCATAAATATAAACAAGTCAGTTCAACAGATTCATTAATTATGGCTGTTTCTAAAAAGAAATCAATGCTGTTGTCTTCATGTCGACTGTCACAATGAGGAAAGCATTAAAAATCAATTTATCACGTTTGATGATAATAGTTCCGAACTTTTTCAACTTTTGGTGTTTTTTTTATGCGTGTCTTTATAGTTTTGAGCTGAGAAATGCCGAGGATGTGATAAAAGTTTGTTCTTATAGGAGGGAGACCATTTAGGGACAGTATATGACTGTTTGTGTGATTACTTTAGCTTACTTGCATTCAAATCTTGTAGAATCAATCTAGAAAAACCTTTAAAAATCGAGTCATGAGAATAAAAATGCTTTAATTAGAGTCGCTAGTTCTTCAAACTAAGAGTTGAGAGTTTGATGTCTCTAAGGATCTAGAACAAGCTTTCAATTTCACAAAGTGGTTCTTTTGGCAATTTTTAGCACTTAAACAACAGCAACCTCCCAATAGCTCCAAAGAAATATGCCTGCAGCAAATCTTTCACAATTAGGAAACTGTGCGTGAGTGTTAATAAGCACGCACAACATCTCTTTGTGATGTATAATCATAAACATCAATGAATCATTTGAAGCTTTTAAGGAGCATTAGCGGCAATCATGTTGCTGTTGTTGTCCAAAATATACAAAAGAACAGTGCCGACAATAACAATATTTAAGAAAAAAAGAAAGAAAGACGAACAAAAGTTGGAAAGAGAGATGGCATCCAAAGTTGGGCTTTATTCATGTATGATGCCTTTTTAAAAATGGGATATTTCAGACTCACTTATTGTTTTAAGGTTTCAGAAAATCTAAAGCCCCTCTTAAATGATAGACGTCATAAGTGGAGAACCCCTCATTGAGATTTTCGGTTCATTCATAACAAAAAGTACTCATCATACTTACGTTTGGATGAATGTGTGATTTGACCAGACGAAATAAAGAAAATAATATTGAGACGATGAAGAAGAAATTTAATTGATGTGGATGTATAGTCAAATGTGACATGATAAAGCATATGGATGATCACAATATGTGAGTGAACTTACATTTGAGTCGTTTGTCAAGTTCACATTATTATTCAACGGATAAAAAGACAATGCACACGTGGGAACTTATTTTTCTCTATTGAGGTGCTAACTCAATATATATCCATGCTGTTATTAATAGATTGACGTAATACGCAATGTTGAATAATAAATTTTTCGCATGGACCGAGTGATTGATAAGTGATACGGGTATGCTACCTGAAAATCCATATGCCACAATTTATTTTTGGGGCTACATGTTATGCCACTTCAATAATTCAAGTGTCCATGAAATAAATGCATCCATATCTACCATTTACGATGCTCGGAATAAAGATTAAACATTTCAAATGCTTAATTATATTAAGTATCATTGATTACGATTCATAATTATCAAAACAGCGTAAGCATTGATTTTACCAAATTTTATTTCATTTTTTTTTTCAAGGCACTTGAAAGTGATCGATTATTTAACAGCCCTGAAAAAAATTTAA